CTTTCTGGGGCACGGTATGCAATGGAGAGTGGCCATAAACAGATAACAACCTAAACACAATGGGCTCCATTCTGAAAGATTTACACAAGGACAACAATCTTTATTTTCAGCCATGTAATTGTAAGTTTGAAAACCTTCTGGCTGTGGTGTTTTAGCTTTCTAAATTAAGCCGATAATGCCCGATTCAAGCATCACTAGCAATGACTGCGCAGCTAGCAGACCTTGTTTTTTCCCTAGTGATAACAAGGCTGTAAGACCTCCACTACATTCATCGCTGGTCAAAGAAGGGGACAACACTATTGAATCGGGATGCACTGATACCGATACCAGTTTTGGTGCTGATATATTTGGGCGAGCAGTTGTACTCGCCCAAATGCTCCCGACGCCTATCCCGATACCGGAACTTCCGGTATCAGGAAGTTGGGCAGTGAGTCATTACATGCTGCCCAGCTTCCTGATTGGTCGGGAAGCCGGCTCCATCACCAGGGAGCATGAAGCTGGCTTCCTAGCCAATCAGGAAGTTGGGCGGCGTAATGCCTCGCCGCCCAGCTTCCTGATTGTTCGGGAAGCTGGCCAATCAGGAAACCGGGCGGCGAGTCATTTTCTATCCCCTGGTTTACTGATTTGCCAGAAAGCCAACTCCATGCTTCGTCACCTGGTGACAAAGGAGCATGGAGGCGGCTTTCCGGCTAATCAGGAAGCCAGGCGGCGAGTCATTACCCACCCCCGGCTTCCTGATTGGCTAGTAAGCTGGCTCCATGCTTCCTCGTTACCTGGCTATTAGGGAGCATGGAGAAAGCTTCCTGGCTAATCAGGAAGCCCGGTGGCGAGTCATTACACGCTGCCTGGCTTACTTAATGGGACTTTCGGTATCAGAAAGTACCCCAAAAAAATATCGGTACTGGATATTGAAAAACTGGTATCTGTGCATCCCTACCATAATAAGTCACAAATACAATGCAATCACACGGTGATCTTGTGATGGGTGGGAGGCTGGGAGCTATTTTTCTGAAACAATTACTTTCTGCCTCTTGGTACGTCTGCCTATTGGCGGTTTGTCTCATATAGGAAAACATCCAAAAGCCTGATGCTGTTTGTTTTTGAAGTAGAAATTGTTTTCTAACAGTGTTAAGAGTTAAGTACTTTTGTCATGAGATAAATATGGGGGGCCTTCAATCGTTAGTGGGTGACCATGAGCTCAGTCACAGTTTTAGTGGTGCTGATTAAGCACAGTCCAGAACAACACAGCAACGCATTATGTGGCAGCTGGACCACTCGCCATGCTGCTGCATATATGGGTTACCCTGTCATATCATAGGGGTTAAATATATGATTTAAAGTGTTTTGAGGTGCAATAAAAGAAAACTGTTTCTTTTTCTCTGTGAACAACAGAACACATATCTCTTATGTCATGGAGATGAGAAGAGGTGAGTGTCTTCTCTAGTTTTTTTCTAGGCTGACAACGCCGCTCCTCCATAGACAGAGTACACTGAGCAAGTGTTGTCATCCTAGGACAGGAACTGTTACTAGCAGAATCATTAGATAAAAATAAAGTTAGAAAACCTTGGGGGAAAAAAAGAAAACTAATGCTGCCACCACATCTAAGGAATGGTCAGTTGAAATACATTACATTTTTGTTTTTTTGCACTTTAAAGCCACTCTATCAATACAATGGACAAAAAGTACAAAAAACTTAATCCGCAAAGAAGATATTTCATAAATACCACTCCTGCCACCTGTGCTGCCCACCTAAGCTGCACCATAGAGAAACCACCAATAATCTTCAGAGTCTGATCATCAAGGAGGGCCAATTACCTCATACCCTGTTGCCCTCAGTGGTTTGATCTGCAACCCCCTACATCACTATTGTGTCCTGTAGTGACGTAGGGGTAGCATTCCTGAAGTAGTGACATCTGCCTGGTTGTGCTATCTGGCAGAACTGTGTAAATCTCAGGGATGTATAGACTAATACAAATTATTTGGCAGCTCCCATGTATTCATTTCATATATTTAGCAGTTTGCCTGCAGTTCAGCTTAACGACAGGTTGAAGCAAAACGAACAGCAGTGAAAATAGAAGAGCAAAGTGGTAAGAACAGCTGCAATAACAAAATGCATTTTCCTTTTTTTTTTGATGGCTAGAGAAAATTATGCCTGACTTCAGCCTGAAATGGAAAGGTAATTTTTTTAATAACATTAAATTACAAAATGGCTTGTGAAGCAGAACTAGAAGTTTCCTTGAGAGTGCTGAGGAGCACAGAGTATGTACTACACAGTCTAACTGACCTTAAATAATAAATACATACATATGAAAAAAAACCTCTATTATTCAATCAATTCTACAAAGCACTATCATTAATATGTTTGTCTCCTCTGCAATCAATATGGGCAAATACTATGGGCGTTTAAGCAGAACACCATTGTAAGCATATTATTATTAGAAAGATGAGGTTGGATATTTTCTGTATAAAAATTGTGGGATTAATTGATTTTTATTTTTAATGGACCATTTGCTTGTTCTTTGGCCCCCACAGGACTTTTGTTTGATGCTTTCTGCACACTGTAAATTCATTATTGCCAAGCGATTTCCCAGAAGTATTACATCATTAAAGAAAGAATGGAAATATGTATTAAATGGATGATCCTAAATGAACTTGGTTATTGCAGGAGGCGAGTTATCCATGGACAATAGCCTTTTCTTCTCATGCGGTAGATGAAGTAATAAGACTGAGGTGTCTACATGCAGGAGACAAAACGGCTCTTTTCTTTACAATTAAAATCAAATTAAATACAACTTTTCTTTGGCATCTAAACACACCGGATGCAGCACAAGGCTTGCCCGGCTGATTAAACAGGAACAGAGGTGGGTTTATTAACACTTCCAGAATTCAATGCACTTTAGCCGCACGTCGCCGGATTCTGTTAGCACAAAAAAATGCTTATTGTATGTGGCTGTTAGACCGTGTTCAGCTTCAACGGGTTAGTATTTAGCGCTCTTGTGTTCTCACCTGGGACACGGTTTCTACAAACTGTGCATATGCTTCCTCTGGGGTGCCAGCTTTTCACATAATTAAAGAAAACCTCCACCAAATGCTATTTACATCTAAACCAACTACAGATAATAAACCAAAAAAACAAACAAAATGGCATTGTTTATGGTGTCCCCACACACCTAAGCTGAACACGTATAGAAGAAAAAAAAATAGTTACTTTGCTTGCTCAGTCCATTTGAGCATCTAACAGCACTCAATCACGGGCAGAGACACCGAGAGATACTTGTTAATAAGGTACATTTAGAGATTTAAACTGGCCCGTTATCAGAAAGTACAGAAAAGTCCCTTTAAACCAGAGTTCTTAAATAATTTTCACACAAACAGATCTGTGTGTGTCTGTGTGACTGGGGTAGGGACATTAAAGCACAAGGCCCCTATGCAGAGATATACGTGCAGTGACTGGAGTCTATTCTGACACAGAAAAGCTTCCTGTAATCACCTGTAAAGCAAAACTTGCAAAAGGGAAGGGCAGCAGTAGAATGGATTTCCAGGTAAGCTGCTAAGATCATACAATTGAAACACAAATATAGTATGCAAGCTTATTTTCCAACCAAAGATTCGTAGCACTATTCTGTGCTACGAATCCTGTGGTCCAGACAGCATAGTCCGGCTCCAGTCCTACACTGCAGAGGTAGTAAAACTTCCATATCCTCTAAGTGCACACTGCGTTTTCTGATTGGACAATGAAAGAAAGAAGTACACTTAGGAGCTCCCCGCTCGATTCTCAGATCGTCAGCATGTTATATGTCAAAAAACATGCAATGCAGCATGGCCTAATTAGATCTTAGTGCTGGTCCTCCCTGTTGCAAACTCTGCTGTGCTGATGTGCTTACAGAAGGCTGATAAACACAAATCCAGACACACTAACTGTATTTAAAACTTAGGTTATTTTTATTAATGAATACACAATTACATTAACTGATGTTTTTATATGTCTGCATATTAGTTTTAATAAAATTAAGTGCTAATGTACAAAAAGCATCATGCCTCCTGATATTTGATGAGAACATCGCAACAAACACTGTTGCAGTGAAACATTGATATGATACCTTTCCTATGGATCTAACAAACTGAGTAATGAAATCCTCTAAGTAGCGCACACAGATGGGCAAAGCATTTCAGAATATGGGGACACTACACAATAAAGTAAAATAGTAAACAACTTAACACTGAATTATTTGTCCTGGTGTGTTCATTTTCCTTTAAACCACAAATGAAACTAGCAATTCAAGCCCCCCCTAAATAAAAAAGTGAATGTATACCATGGATTACTTCTCAGAGAGGAGACTGCTGATAAAAAAATAAATCTCACTTAACTCTATACAAGAGATCCGTCAGACAAAGGCAATACTGCTATGTGCAGCATGTTTTGGTGAAACGGTCAAGAACATAAAAGTGCTACTTAGAGAACAGAAGTAGTAGCTTGATTTAAAAAAGTACTAGCTTAATGATTATCCAAAGACAGAAGGCAATATATAATGCATCAGTCATAATCATACCAGATCATTAGGTTAAAATAAAACAGTTTTATAAAATGAATACTGTACAGGGAATGAAACACTAACGCACATGATACACACATGCATAACATGCAAATATGAAGCAAAAAAGTCCTCTGTGTCCATCTACTGTGCATGAGCAGTATTGCAGCATACAATGAAGGCAGGGAGAGTTTGGACACATGCAAAACCCCCCTCCCAACTTCAAAGAGAATAAAAAAAAAAGGGGCGGGTGAGTGAGGGATTCAATGTATCCAATTTGATAAAACCAGAAACAGATAAATATATAAACGGAATGGAAAACAAGCCTTCAAGACAAACAAGGTGATATTTTAAACTCTTGTACTGTGTTTCTTTAGAAAGGTTATGTCAGTAGCTTTCAATGTGGCATAAGACACGCATGCTGCAAGGTTAGGAAAAGATGCTAATTAAGGCGCAGTTGAAGTCTACCTCTCCTGTTCTTGCCTCATTCGCATCCTGTCATCTTCCGAAGGGTGGGCTTCTTTCATTTTCCACGATCCCCTGTGATAAATCTTGTCATCTTTTCGATGTTTGCCAAACCTGTCAAGAACAAGCGCAATTCTAACACTGGTCTGCTGAATGAAAAGGCGACAACAAGTGCCTTTGTGGAGGCCATTCTCTGTTGCTAACAGAGCACAGTAACTTGATTACAATTTCTGCTCCTGTGTCTCCGCTGTTTTCTGCAGGGATATTCACTGCCACAATGCAATCAGCACAACCCGTTTATAGATGTCCTACTCGGCTACATTTTTACAACAGTTTTAACAGCTTTCTGCTCTCTGAAAAAATAGCAGAGATTATTATGGGGCCGGATAAAAGTTCAAACAGTTTAAATTGTTAGTAAAATACTATGTAAGAGAAAACAGGCTTCACATAGTTTGCCTCAATATGGCTAGAGTGTATAAAATAAATTCCAGGCTACATAAAACAAAATTGCAACTGAGCATCGAACTGAACAAATCCCACAATCCAGGGTACCACTGTCCCCAAAGAAAATTACAGCTGTTGCTTTTTACAGATTTTCCTATTGATTGCAATGGAAGCAAAAGTCCCCTGGGTTCTTAAAAGCCAATTTTGGTTTATACCATATTGCTGTCAATCAATGTAGAGTGCAAAAAATTACCACAATTTTTTAAGTTGCAAGGAAAAAGCCATTAGTCAAAGAAGGAAAGATGGAAATAGCTGCTTGTCCTTGTATAACTTGCTACAGTGCAATGAACTGTCCCCTATACCCATTTGACACAGACAGCGGCACAAGCGTGGTACTTCTGACTGTTCCCTCTTCTACACAGAGGTATTACTCCCACTTGCAGAGGATATTCCAATCACTAGAGCCTTTGTACACTCAATATTGCTTCCTGTAAGGTCAGAAATGGTGGACAGATTGTTGAAAGCAACCTTCGAAATCTGGAGCACAGCTTGCTTTACTCTATTCTACTTATATTATACATACCAGAGACAAATCAGTGTTATCTGCAGCCCTAAAACCTTCCTATTCTCAGGTATAGTGTAAGATGTTCTAAACCAAAAAAGAATTTCCTGATTTATGGCTGGTGTGTAAGTGATAACACCATGATCAGTTAAATGCTGCTCCTGCTGACAATTATCAGTTAAAAAAAGAAGCTAAGTCGCTTTGCTTAATTTGCCCAGCCTCCTCAAAAAAAGTGTAGTGTTTTTCCTCTGTGTGTTGTATTGTATATAAGTGCAGCAGCAGTGCGTAGACAGCTCAGACAGTGCACCAGAAAAAAGAAAATCGTGGGCGCAAAGTATAGAACTCCAGAGGGAGGCTGTGAAGAAGCGGCCCCTACGTTACCAATGGTATTGATCCATCTTCAGGGGCTAGAGCAGATGCACTAAGCTCCTTGCGGGGATGAAGCCCTAGATTACCTTATAACTTAGATACATCATCCAGAGGGGAGCGGTGGCCATTTAACCGTTAAAAAGGACAAGCCCCATTCGATCCTCAATCTCCTGATGGGCATCCCCCCTTCCCAAAGATGGTCTTCAGGGACAGGGCTCGACCAAGATGGACCATGGCCACTAAGTGTCAAGCTAAGTGTCACACGTAGGATCCAGTTCAATGGGTCCCATCACAATCCTGACCGGATTGTACCCTCTAGTATCGGGTGAGTGCCATAGTGACCGCAGATGCCTCTGCAGATCAATGCACAAATAATGGAAAGTCACATCATAATAGTGACGTTTCGAAACCGCATGGTCCCTTCTTCAGGCAAACAAAAAGGGACCATGCGGTTCCGAAACATCGCTATTATGATGTGGCACTACAGAGGTCACTAAACATTGACTAATAACCAAGTTGGAGTGCAAGTGACTTTCCATTATTTGTACATGTAGGATCCAATCTCCTGATAGCACTTCACAGGAAACCCATGCATCTTCCTTCCAGCAGGGTCTGGTTACAGCCTGCCTAAGCTCAGCCGAGGAGAAAATGGATCCAGAAAGATGTGCTGGACTGGCTGTAAGCAGCTCAGGAAAACTTTTGAGAAGAGCCCTGAAGTGCAGTAAAGTATGTGCTTCAGAGCAGAGAGAAGGCTGAAACTGAAGTGGGAGGGGTTATGGAGGGCTGCCCTAATAGCTTTGATTTGCCAGTGCCCATACATCTGAAGGTAGCTGCATAACCAGTAGGTTCCAGAATTAACTCCCTGTATCCTGTGATATATTATCAAGAAATCTATGTGTTGTAGAACTTTGCACTTATTTATTTAAAAATAAGATAGGCACTAATGATACACAAAGCAAGACCCTCTTAATACATAATGCTGGTTACGAAGTTAAACTTCTGAATTTAAAACCAAGCTGCCATTTTCTGAATCAGTGGCCCTAGTCCCAGAGGAGGAGCATCATTTGCGGTGAAGCTGAACAAATTCAGCATAGCTGCCCCAGAAGTAGTATTTGGCACAGTAGTCAGAGAATGGCAGTTTGTTGTATCCAAGTTTGCACCTCAATCTATTTTGCTTCGTGACAAACTGCCCTAGTTATCCTCCTTTATTTATATATATATATATGTATCCTTGACAGTGACTTGCTTTGTTTTTATTAGAATCCTGTTACTGTGTCTTTATTGGTCGATTAAGGCCAATTAAAATAATGTGACAACAAAGGCCCACCCACTGGAAGGAATTTGAATCTGAGCTGGTGTTCGGGCACTTGTTTCCAGTCCTAAACTAGTTAACGTCTCCCTTTATCCAAATGTGCTGAATTTCAAGCACAACAAAACCAAATAAAATCTCAATTTAATCTGTTAAATGAGCTAAACTTGCTGCGTTACTGATGAGATCATTGTAGCCTGCCAAATTACCTACGAATTTCATTAGGACAGCAAGCTATAGAAGAAACATCCATTAGTTGATTAATGAAGAAAAACAAAAACTGATTAAGACATAAAAAGTCCCATAGTGTTAAATTGGTTATGAATGGTATAAAAGGAAAAGCCTAATTTATTAGCTAGCCTCTGTATTCCTATTGTTGTCTCACTGCATCTGGTTTCATAATGATAAGCAGTCAAAAATACAAGAATAGGATGTGAAAGACAAATTATGAACACCAATCACTTACTCTATGCGTGTCAAAGATGCTTCCAACACAAAGAGGAATGAAAACCTTGACATCCCACCTGGTAAGGGCCCACCTGACCTACAAGAGTTTGAACCTGCTTTTTAATTCTGCCCCGCTCCCTGACTCCCGGAGCTTGACAGCGGCTCTCAATACCACCCACACCCTTCTATGTAACACCCTACCCCCTACCCCACCCTATTCCCCTCCGTATAGTTCTTTACTTCTAGATTCAGCCCCTCAGAATCGGATCAAAGTTGATTGTACTACTGGACCGCAATCCGTAACTTCAACGGCTCTAATGGATTGGTTTTTCTTAGATGATTTAAGTCAACTCCACTTAACTTCATAACACCATCCGATTACTTTAAATGTGTACAACTCAATGATCTTTACCCGTGGTGTACACTCTTGGATGCTGCATCAGCACAACTGCATATACTTACTTCCTATTTAGTTGTAATGTTAATGTGAAGACAATAAAAACTTTTGTGAGAAAACCTTTAAATCTCAGTTTTGCTTGGTGTGGGGGAGAGTTTAATTTGTCTATGACCCCATTGTGAAATGCTCCTATTTCTGGTCTGGTAGGTTCACAAGGGTAGGAAGTGACAAAAGCACTATGGAGACACCAGCATTATAGAATACACAGAAATATACAGAGAATGCAGCCCTGGGAAAGCAAGTAGTCTATCTCACAATTGAGCCCTAGTTGTCACAGGGGAACGTGGGTTGGCAGGTTCTCAGATAGCAGTGGGGACCAGATGATCTCATCAAGAAAGCCTGGTTTCTGAGATATGTGACCATGCATCATCTCACAGTACTGTCTAAAACAACCTGCATACGACCATGTAAGAGTATTGGACTATATACGTTCTATATACGTATGTGTCCAGTATCTGTCCACATGTGTAGCCAACCATACTCTGCTTAAAGAGTATCTATGGTAGAAAAAAAAACCCGAAAAAAAATTTATTTCTATATTTAATTGTAATAGGTTCAATCCCACTCCTAATGACCATATTGATCGAGAATGCCCAAAGGATGTACTTTCTCAATGCACTGACACTCAGCACTGTGAATATGCACTTCCTTGTGTCACCATTGTAAGCCTGTAGTCTTAACTACAACTCAACATCTGAACAACTCAACATCTGAACTGTAGCGTAATCACCGATTGCTTGAAGCAATGCAATGGCATATGTAGTCTTAAAGAAAAAATACAGGCACTATTATTCTTATTCCTTGCAGTGGGGGACTGCCCTGTACTGCAAGGGTTAAGTGCTCGTTTTTGTTAAAGGACAAAAATAACGTTATACACAACTGAAACTCTGAGCCGGGTGGCTGTTAGACCAGTCCCTGGAGCCCCTCTCCCCCTCTATGCTCTGGCAGTCTAAGGCCTTGTGAGTCATCATGTCCTATACATCGAATTGTATGTGAGGATGCTGAGGGACATTCCATCGCTGAAGTGGAGGAGACAGTCCGAAGGGACCGGTCTGGGTGAGTAAATATTTCTTATTTGTGACCCTGGACAAAAAAGAGCACTTAATCCTTGCAAAGAGGGGGTAGCCCCACTGCAAGGGTTAAGAATAACTGTGCCCGGAGTTCCTTTTTAAGAAGCCAGAGATTGCATCACATCAAGCAGCAGGGCAAAGGGAGCGCAAAGCACACTGGGAATCCAAGAAGTTTTTGAAAATGATTGGCAGACGGAAGGCAGTACTCACTACATAAAAGGGATATTTTTCTGTAAGCTGTGGGATATGTAAAGGGAAGGGATATGATAATGTAAGCTGTGCTTACATTATCAAAAACAACTCTAGTATATATTCCTATTACAATTATGAAGTTATAACAGAATGGTATTTGCTGCGACTTTAGAACTCCTTTAAACAGGTTTGATTTCAGTCTAAATCTTTTCTACTTGTTTTGCAACCAGAGCACCTATGCTGGTAATTGCTCGAGGCCCTTCT